TGCATGCTCACAGAAGGGCCTCGCTCACTAACGAACACCTGGACGTACCTGGAAGACGTTGTTCCTGTGGCCGCTATCGTAGGTGACGACAGGCCGATTGCTCGCCCAGTCCCAGATGATGATGTTGAGGTCGTCAGAGCCGCTGGCAAGCCAGTTACCGGACGAGTTGAAGTGAACAGTGTTCACGCATCCGCGATGGTTGTCCAGCTTGTACATGAGCTCAAAGCGCTGCACAACGTGCAAGCTGCCTCCGTACCGGTGACTGCAAACCACCCAGGGTTTAAGCTGTCGTTTCGATAATTTGCCAAGTACGAATTAAAGTTGAATTTGGTAGAAAAAATGCAATAAATTCGTCAAAAAGCTAAAGCTAATTAGGCTCTTCAGGCTAAATGTGGGATGAAATACAATTAAAACTAGAGCACTCAGAGAGCGCAGACCTCCGCCAAGGCAGCTCAATTCTCTCACTGTGAAAAATTTAATTAATTGGATCCGGATCACCACCAAAATGTAATCAATTGTAAGTTACCCCATTTCTGACCTATCCTGAACATTTTTTTAATTAATTAATTGGATCCAGATCACCACGAAAATCTAATCAGTTCTAAGTTAGCCCATTTCTGACCTATCCTGAAAATGTTATGACAATCCGTCCATAACTTTTTCAGTTAGGCTGTACACGCACAAACCAACAAACACACGCCGGTGAAAACATAACCTCCTGCCAACACCTTGGCGGAGGTAATTAAATAAATGTCACATTTTGTTTGGCTAATAGAGCATTAATTTGGCTAAACATTTTCAGACCAAATTAGTTAAATTGCTGACTTTTTTTTGTCCAGCTAAACCCCTGACCACCCAGATAGCTGTGCAATGACAAACACACGTCTGCGCAATAGACATGTAGAGTCAATAGCCGTGTTGGCATGCGCCTCTATAGAACAGACACCTGTCTATAAAGGACACTGTTTTGTGTTTCTCTAGGGTGGCAGCTATGCAGTGCTACCAACTCTGCATAACAGGCACCTGTTCTATCTAGACTATAAAGGAAAGTTTTGCTGTTTCCCCTAAGTGACAGTTATAAAGTGAAACCTCCTCTATAGAACAGATGCCTGTCTATAAAAGAGACATCAGGGGGGTTACCTTGAGTGAGCCTTATATACAGGTTTGCACACTGTATATCGTATATACAGGATAGAACCACGCCTGATCATGATTACCTGACAAGCAAGGTGAATGAAAACGCAACACATGGACGATTCGGACCAAAGCTAGAAAATTTAAAGCACAAAACTTCGAATTAATGGCGAAATTCGAGACCCGGAAGTGGAGTCGCGCGTATCGCACGCACGCGGTCGGTCACTCACTCACCCCCACAGCTGCGGAGAGTAGCGATGTCCGAAGCCGTACTCTCGCTGCGTCAGCTCCCTGTAGGCGAACCACCTGTGCTTGGGGGCGCCACCAGCCTCCAGGTTGACGGCGACGTCCTCGTCACTGCTGCTGCCGGCGGCGATCGCGAGTTCGCGTTCCTCGTCGTCGTCGTCGTCCTCGCTGTTGTCATCCGTGTGATCACGGCTGCTGATGCTGCTCTGACTGTCGTCTGCAACCATGGCAACAACTCGTCGGTGCCGCAGCGGGAATGAGCGCACGCGAGGGAGACGTGCGCAGATACAGCCGCTACACACTAACTCAACTAATATGACATGAACTAGCATTCATAATCAACATTTATTCAATTTCAGAATTGACTTCAAATTCAGATTTATATCACCAAATAATGTACTCGATTTTTTTGGATTAAAAAAAAGATTCAATTACATGTGTCATATACTCCATTTCACTATGTTAGGGTTTCCACTAATTAGTTAACCAGTTTTTGGTTTGTTAGTGAAGTCCTGATTCCCTAAACGCCCCTGCAGGCATTTAGCCAGTGTGCATTCACTCCAGGGTTCATAGTAGTAAGACACATGTTGAAATAAGGACTTATAAGACCCTTTCTAGAGGCCAAAATAAGACTTTTTTACGCGATTTCTGATAGATCATCGACTATTTAAGGGCACTAATAATATTTATATACACAATTGCACAGCAGATTTAATTATTCCGTATTATATATACAACAATTCTTACTCGAGTCGAGAACAGTAAGTCGAAAAATAAGGACTATTAAGTACTTTTCTAAGATTTCACCAAAAATAAGTACTAATAAGAGTGTGTGTGTGGGGGGTATGTATGTGTGTGTGTGGGGGGGGTATGTATGTGTGTGGGGGGATGTATGTATGTGTGTGGGGGTATATATGTATGTGGGGTATGTATGTGTGTTGGGGTATATATGTGTGTGGGGGTATGTATGTGTATGTATGTATGCATGTATGTGTGGGGGTATGTATACGGTGGGTGTGCATGACTTCGTGCGCTCACGAGCACAGCTTCCCTACCTTGTGGGCGGCGCCGCGGTGGGACGCGAGACGCCGCGTCGTGCGGCAGTCTCCGCTCGATGACAGCTCAGCTATGCGCACGACCCCATCCCGCGCGCAGCTCACAATGTGCGTGTCGTTACGGAACGGCAGAAACTTCGCCTACAACAACAACGCGAACAACAGATGAACGATGGTGATGTGAACATACAATGAACAGCAACGACGTAAGCAATCGATGAACGATGATGACATGAAAAGCTCACGACGTGTGTGTCGCAGCGGAACGGCAGAACCTTTATCTACAACGACGACACGAACGACGAATGAACGATGGTGATGTGAACATATCATGAACAACAACAACGTGAGCAACGGATGAACGACGATGACATGAACATATGATGTAAAACGACAATGCGAGACGTGGATGAAAAATGATGGGGTGAATATATATGATGAACAATGGCGATGAGAGCTAGGAATGAACATGATGAACAACAATGATGCAAACAGCAGATGGACATATGAGCAGACAAATGATTATATGAATAATGAATGGACAACAATGATGGCATGAACATGACAATGTGAATAACTGATGAACAATGACATGTTGTGGATGTATAGTAGATAAACAATGTAAGGCATCTCTGGTGGTAAAGGGTGATCCGACATGACAGATCTCAGAAACCATACAGAATTTTTTTAAGGGGTAACCATATAATGTCATAAGCACGTATATATCAGGGGTGAATAATGACAAATTTGTCAATATTCACCCCTGGTATATATGTATGTACGTAGGTACGCATGTACGCATGCACACACGCACGTTCCTATGCACGTATAACTAAGGAAAACAGTAATCAGCTTATATAGAGTGATATATGAATAACAGTAAAAACCTTTTTCAGTAATAAATGAGGGATCTACAACCAACAACGAAACCTGCATGCTCACAGAAGGGCCTCGCTCACTAACGAACACCTGGACGTACCTGGAAGACGTTGTTCCTGTGGCCGCTATCGTAGGTGACGACAGGCCGATTGCTCGCCCAGTCCCAGATGATGATGTTGAGGTCGTCAGAGCCGCTGGCAAGCCAGTTACCGGACGAGTTGAAGTGAACAGTGTTCACGCATCCGCGATGGTTGTCCAGCTTGTACATGAGCTCAAAGCGCTGCACAACGTGCAAGCTGCCTCCGTACCGGTGACTGCAAACCACCCAGGGTTTAAGCTGTCGTTTCGATAATTTGCCAAGTACGAATTAAAGTTGAATTTGGTAGAAAAAATGCAATAAATTCGTCAAAAAGCTAAAGCTAATTAGGCTCTTCAGGCTAAATGTGGGATGAAATACAATTAAAACTAGAGCACTCAGAGAGCGCAGACCTCCGCCAAGGCAGCTCAATTCTCTCACTGTGAAAAATTTAATTAATTGGATCCGGATCACCACCAAAATGTAATCAATTGTAAGTTACCCCATTTCTGACCTATCCTGAACATTTTTTTAATTAATTAATTGGATCCAGATCACCACGAAAATCTAATCAGTTCTAAGTTAGCCCATTTCTGACCTATCCTGAAAATGTTATGACAATCCGTCCATAACTTTTTCAGTTAGGCTGTACACGCACAAACCAACAAACACACGCCGGTGAAAACATAACCTCCTGCCAACACCTTGGCGGAGGTAATTAAATAAATGTCACATTTTGTTTGGCTAATAGAGCATTAATTTGGCTAAACATTTTCAGACCAAATTAGCTAAATT